CAACAGTCGCTCTGTAACAAACGTTATAATTCTCAACAAACTTCTCACGTGCTTAACAATATTCTCCCTAACTGTAGTTCAATTACTCATTATCTCCTGTCCCGTCACGATACAAGACTAACACATATCTAGTAAATGCTAGGGCATTCTTGAAGGAACAGGATATTTCTAGAAAGAGGTGGCGTGATACTAGTCACGTGACTTCGCTGACGCAACAATATTAGTGGAGTTTAGTGGAGCCAGTTAATCTCTCTAAGTTGAAGAAATGGAGGTTTACAACAGTTGTAGGTATGACAGAAAAACATAGCAAGGTCGTAAGTTCATGTTAAGCAAATCTTGAGTCAAGAAAGGGGTATAAAGATAGTAAATAATTAAGTTTTTTATTTTTAGGCATAATTTCAAATTTATATATTTAACTTACAAAACTTAAATGAAAAAGTTGTGATATGATAACGTATAAGCTCACATAGACAAAAACTATTTCCATGTTCAGAAAGATATGTCTATATAAAAATTACAATAAGATATTCCTCACACCTAAATACTATTTTAAGATATATACTTTTAATTTTGTTTATTAACTTCACGTTAGTCTTCAGGGCCGAATTAAGGTTTAGTAGGACCGTAGGCCCAGCTAATATTTGGGAATAATAACTCACTCTTATCTCTATTCTGCTAGTTTTACAAACCACAATTTTTTAATCGAATAGCCAGCAAGACCCCCGCATGGCCGGAGCTCTAGGTACAAGCGTAGATGGCCTATGCATTAATACGGTACTGTTAGTCCTAGAATTCTCTAGAACAAAGTTTATTTATATAAATAGGTAGTGAAGCGCCCGGTTACTTGAATTTAAAGTCAGTTGAAATCAAAGAGTTATAACACTACTTTGTACAAGTAAATAAATTGATCTTCCGTTATTCCTAGTACTTTCTTAAGAGAGGTATAATATAATTTATAAGCCTAAAAAAATTAACATTTTACGGCAGTATTCAACTTTAAGCTTGTATAAACGTTTAAAGGAGGAAATAAACTGATTTCCTTTCGTTAAGCGGACTAGAAGTTGAATTATTTTCACCTGATAATTTATAAGAATCCGCAAAGAAAGCACAACATTACAAAAATTTAATGTCAGAATTGGAATTTAATTGCTGAAAATAGAATAAAACTTGGAATATGTTTGAAATAGAATCTCAACTTTTGAAAATGGCAACCACGAGGTCAGATAGTGAGATTCGAGGATTACCTGAAATGATGAAATTGTTCAGACAAGATCAAGAGGAAAGGGACAGAATATTTCAATAACAAGAAGAAATTGTTCAAACATAGAAGAGACCAAAAATTAGAGGAATGAAAGTATAAAATTAAAATAAGACCAAGAACGGGACAGAAAATTAGAAGAAAGAGATACAAAAATACGAGACCATGAAAGAGTTTATAGAAAATTGAAAGATAACCATGAAGAACATAACAAGAATTTAAGAGAGGAGTTAAAAGAGAGGCATGAACTATTTAAATAAAAATAAAGCTGACTGAAGACGAGATCGATGAAACTATTTAAGATGTACAGAGAGATTACCACAAGAAGATTGAGCAAATACAGAGAAGTGTAATGATAAATTTGAAGAACAAAAATATATGAACAGTGGTCACAAAAACAAAAATCTGGAAAATGAATTATAAACTTACCACGCCTCTTTGTGTATTGATCCAATAATTCCAAATTAAATCCCATTAAAACTAAATATTAAGGAATAGGAGAACCTCTTTGATCTACACTTATTACGATTACTGCTGGGTCATTTGGTTTACAAGGGCTTCCTCGACTACTCCAGCTATTTCACTGCCTTGTTCAGTTCCAGAATTTAGCTGGCCAGTTCAACATCATTTCACACTGGCGATAGCCTAGAAGAACTATAATGATCAGTTAAACAACTTACACAGAATGGAGGGAATAAACCACTGGACAATAGGTGCTTCAAGCATAACTTGAGAGAACACATTGCTAAGAATTGTAGACAAAAGCTTGTAGAGAATAAAAACTCTTCTCAGATTACATAGAAATGGTGAATTTTGTACACGTGGGAAATCTGGTAATTACAGATGAGACTGTGAGGAATAAACAGCTGCTAACACACCAAAGAGTCAATACCCTTTAGAATGAGCTTTGAGCACAACCAGATCGAAGGAACAACAAAAGGCTAACTAGACCTTATAAGATATAGGATGTCATTTCTGTAATTATTATTAACAAGTTAGCATTCACATTTTCATCCTGAAATTTGAAATTTAACTTGAAATAAGTCAATATAAATGAGTGCAGAAAAGAAAAACATACCGCTGTGAGAATGCAGGCAAAAATAGTAGAAATCTCAAGACTCAAGGTGAAGCAAAGCATCCCAGTAAGTTTTCGTGATTAAGGTTTTTTTAGCTTATTTCTCCTCTACAGAAGTTGATATTTGTTGTAATCAACCTACTTTGAAGTAATCAGTTCTTCAAATATTAGCCCTATGGTGTTCGATGTTGTTTTGTTATCTTATCTGTATGTTGTTTCAATATGAACATGTTTGTATTTGTTTCTTATCTTCACTGCTGATATCTAAAGTGCCAGTATTTCCACATGATTAATTTTCTTCATCAGTAAATGAGTGGCTTCTTGTTCAAAGTGCAAATTTAAAATTAAATGTCTGCCATTAGACAAAGGGCTAAGTCTTTATATTGCTTAATGTACATAAGCATTAAATTACATGAATTCAGACGTAGAAAAACTATTCTTCATTAAGGTACTGTGGAGAATATCATAATATTATAACGTTAATATTCAACACAATAAAATTACTGTATATATTGTAATGGGAGGTACTTTTTGAATATCTTGTTATTCAACATTATATCAACGTATATCATAATTGGTAGCTTATTACTCAGAACTCAGTCAATGTTTATTATGTAATAACTTTAACTTCAACTCAAGAATAGCTCGTAAACTGTTATCAAAAATCAAGAGATGAGGTACCTTATTAACAAATATTATAATATGAAATAACCTGTTATTCAACACCAAGATATGTAATAGGTTTTATCCAGAACCCGATTACGCCGTGTCATGTTATCCAACACCAGAAGCTGTGGAAACTTGTTAAGCAACCTTAAGATATCTAGTGACTTCTTATCAAGTACTGAAATATGTCGTAACTTCTAAATACTAATATATATAACAGAACAAAAGTCGTACCTTGCTTTCCAAGAAGGATATGTTCTGACATGTTATCCAGCAAAAAGATATGCTGTAGCTTGTTATCCAGCAACAGGATACTAAGTAGATTCCTATCCAACAGCAGGATACGTGGTAATCTCTTATCCAATAGCAGGATACTTAGCAGCTTCTGATGCGACATAGTGTAAAATATTAATTTGATATCCAACACCACAATATGTGATAGCTTGTAATCCAACATCAAGATTTGTAATAGTTCTTTATCTAAACAAAAGAATATCATTACTTTATATTCATGGCCAGGATACGACAAAACTTGCCATCTAATCCTAGTGTATGTAGTTGCCTCTCGTGCAACACCAGGATGTGTAGCTTGCTACACAAAACCAATGCATGATATGTAGTAACGTTTTATCCAACACATCTGGTAAGTTTTTTAACTGAACGTGTTATTTAACACAAGGATATGAGTAACATCTTTTCCAAGAGAAGGATATGGCATAACTTGTTATTCAAGAGCAAGGTATGTAATGCATTCTTATCCACTATTAGAAAATGTTGTAACTTGATACTCAACGCCAGGATATCTGGTAATTTGTTATCGAACATCAGGATATACCACAACTTATGATTCAATACCAGAATACGTCGTAGCTTGTACCTAGAACATTGGTTTGTCTCTTTCTAGGTTGAATTTGCAAAGTTTATGACGAATCAGTAAAGGAGTTAGCAAAAATAACGCCCATTGGAAGTTTGCCCCATTTTGGCCTTTTATTTCTGAAAAAATTTTGGCAAACATGTAAAAGTTTACCTAATGTTAAAAAGTGACAGCGTTTTATTTATTTATCTTTATTTTTTTAATTTTTAGATTGAGATTTTAATGAAGCTTTCGTTTTTGTAAGATTTGGTTTAGTAGAACATATTCACAACGAGATTACCGATAACTGGAATTCCGGAAGACAGTCGAGTATTTGACTTATCAAATGGTGTCTAGTAATCTAATAGATGGATTTCTTACTTGAAAAAAAAATCAAATCCGATTCTTTAGTAAGAAATTGATCAGAACCTGCGAAACGTGTTGTTAGGAGACCTGTAAACAAAAGATGAACCTTATCTTTTGATTTGCTCCTTCAATTCTGTACCAATGTTTGGTTCAAATTCAGACAGAATAATTATTAAAGAGTAAATAATGATTTTGTAGATTTTAGTGCTTTTGTCAAATACTGTGAAATGAGTAATTTACGAATGTTGGAATGATATTTTAGAAAGAGATGATAACATATGTTTGAAATCATGAAAAATAAAATTGATCAATATCGAGCTTCAATTTGTCCATATAATATTTGTTAGATTCATTATCTCAGCTAATATTGTTACCTTTAGATATTCATCTTTTTAGACTTATTTTTCTTAAATTCCTTAATTACAGTAGCAGTAAAAAAATTTAATTTTAAAATAGATTTGCATCAAGGCAAACGGGAGAAATTTATGTTTACATTCTTTAATATCGGATGGTTCAAATTCAAATGTGAATGAAGGGATATGGGAAACTGGCTGACACGCAAAGATAATTATATAGAAGTTTGAGAGTTTCGAAGAAGTGCAAAGAAATTCAGAGAAGGATTAGATTTTTTTACTCCTTTTTTAACATAAAATAGAATTTATAGTTTGCAAGTATAACATTATTTCTTTTGTATACTTAACTTGTCTTATCAAAGACGAACTAGTCGTGAACAGTAGATAGTGGAGAGAAGACTAAAACATTTCTACGTTTTGCACCAAAGTAGAAATATTTTGTCTTCTTGGAACAAATATTCATAAAGTGTGTTAATCTTGTTTAGAATATGTTAATTTTGATTAAGAGAACCAATGAAATAGTTTTAAAAAGTCGCATGACTCTTTCATTTAGAGATTTTACGAAGAAAGGAATTTCAGTTCTAATCCGTGCTTCAGGCATTCAATATCAAATTTTCTTACTTAGATTGTAGTCTGTTTCTACAGAATGTGGCTCCAACGTTGACAGTTATGGCAAATCGCCATAGACCTCGACCTGTTATAGGCCCAGAAACCCTACTTTGCATTTAAAATTTTAACATTTGGTATAAATAAAGAGTCGACAAGTTCCAAACTCCCAAAGTATGCTTACGCCAATCAAATTAAACCATGCGTCAGTTCCAAACAAGTTCAAAACTCTCAAAGTATGCCTACGCTAATCAAATTAAACCTTGCGTCAGTTCGGTATCCCATGACATTTTACCGTCTCTTTCTTTCTGTCTTGTTCCTGTGAAGAGGTCAGACATGTGGTGTGTCTTCTGTATCATTGATTCCACACATCGTCCGATAACTTTTACATCCAGTAGTTTTCTTAAATGTTATCCTTCGAATCGCCTCATAGCCACAGTAATGAGACCTCTCGTTACAAATTCAGTTTCTTATCTACTTTGGTAAGCGTTGAAATTTCCAAACTCTACCGATTCGCAAAATAGTCGGCCTGAAATGTGTACTTTGTTTTCTTTTTTCATTTAAATTTTCTTTACGGGCAATGCAATAAAAATTAGTTGTTACAAGCATAAAAGAGGAAAAGGTAAAAGAGAAACTTGAAAGAACAAGTTCAAAATCAGGATCCTACAGCAAGTTAAGTATGTATTACAACAGCGGAAGTCATGTGATGCTTGGAACAC